GTGATCCGTTATCATCAAGACCGCCATTGTCTTAATAAATTCAAAGATTCTACTGTCATTGTATTTGGGCGAGTTTTTCGTATATAATTTTATTCAGAGGTGTGGAACCTACAGTACGTGGGGAGATTCTCGACTTCTATATCCGTGGCAGCGTTACTGCAGTTGGTTCTACATCGGCCTACTGTTTGTTCAATCGGCAATGTTATGTTTCGAGTATGAAAAACAGTATTTGTATTTTTTGATGCAGCTTTAATATAATTCTTTATTTTCGGTCTACTCGAATTATTCTAGTAAAAAAGGTATAGCACTGCCTGTTTTTTATCACAGTTGCCAGCATCTTCCATTACAGTGGATAGTTATACACCACTAGGGGCTTGTAACCCGACCAGACACGCGTTAGGCCGTCGCTCTAACACGTTGAGCCATTAGCGCTTGCGAAATAATCTATAATATCAAGATATCGATTTACCGAAAAATGAGAATTGCATTAATGGGCATATGCTGTAAAATTATTATGCGATTTTGATTATGAGTCGGCGAAGACCAAGGATGATACACAATTGTCACCTAAGTTTATTACGATGAAATTCTCATATTACTGATTGTCTCCTCATATGTATTTGATTTCTACTACACGTCCCAACACTGTAATCGATGCGCCTGTCGCAAGATGCACTGTATTCTTTGTTGGATGAATGGAGCACTATTATAACTTGGTCGTACGACCCTATACCTGCTGACGCCAAATAACATGATTCGATTTCCCCAGTCAACTAGGGCACGACGTGCTAATTTTTTTTCTATCACAATTAACTTGAAGGTGATGGAAGATTCTCCATAACCAGGTGCAGCGATTCACAGTAACTGTATTGTCGGATCAACTGTAGCAAAGAAGATTTCCTAATTTCTTTACCTTGTTAGACCCATCAAAGTGCTCCGTTTCTACTTGCCCTAGTCGCAAGATATGATTTTGCGTCAATCTAGCAACCTTGCAATAAAGTTGGACCCGATTTCGCTGCTCTTGTTATAATCGTAGATCGGTTACCGTCTCTACCCGCCGTGCAGTAATACGGGTTCTGAAGCAATGCATGTGTAGACGAAGCTCCAACGTTTGACAACAATTGTGTATCTGCAATATATTGAATCCAGTATAGAATGGACGCTTGCTATCCACCCTTTAGAGGTACATAAATCCCGGAACTATTGTTTTCGTCGTCTAATTGGCCGTTTAGGAGATACAAGTGAATGATTCTGTCTCAAACAAGCTGTTCTTTCCCATTCGCCACTATTATCGCCTCTTCTATCAAATATTGTGAAAGTCAGAATATATGGGTCTAGGCGGAAAAATCCGCAAGACCCTGGCTGAACACATCTATTTTAGCGCGATTCGCATACAAGATAGGCAGTGATGCAGCTCGAGAGTAGTCTATCGTGCTCCAGGTAATCTCGCTTATTTATATTACCCAATCTGATATTTGAATTCTCAGAACAAGCTCGTAATCGTCTCGTAGTGTCTCTAATGTTCATCTGATGCGATTTTGAACCTCTTACGACTCAATTTCATTCTAATAGAAAAGTTACATACCTTCGACCCAAGCCTTGACTCGCTCAACCAAATTAGAATGGGTGAACGCAAGCTACACCTCGTCGTCGGCAATGCGAAGGGCCCAAGTGGCGTCGTCAAAGTCGACGAAATAAATCAGCAGATATTCGTCCTCGAATTCCCTGTATTCGGAGAATTCTATCTCCAAGGTTTTAGGACGACGCAAACGCTTCATCCCTTCCATAGCAGAATTTAATTGCTGCTGTCTACCCGGCCCTAGTTGTTACAGACTAAATTATCCTACCTAATCTGATTGTTGAAATCTTTGATGATAAAGCAAGGCCACTCTTTTTTCGGCAGAAACTTTATTTATAATAATAGGCGCTTATAATGACAAGATATTAAGCTGCCAATGATCTCCACCATGCCAATATTGGCGATGTGGCATAGGAAAGAACTTAATCTATTCAGCCGCACGTCTCTCAGTATTACTCGAATCTTGGTAGCTTTGCGATGTCGTGTAAGCTTTCTCCCTTATGCACTATGTTCATGTCAAGTGAATCGGAGGAGGTCGTTTAATGGGCGACGAAGTGCAACCAGGTGTAACGGTGTAAACTTATTAAAAGGCAACTGGTAACCTCTTGTATGGTCTAACCACGATATCATGGAGCTAATTCTTGGTTAAGGGCAGGCTCACGGCATAGGATGAAAACCGGAAAGTTAGTGGTTTTCACTTAGTTTGTACCTAAATATGAATGACTATCACGAGCCAATGAACCTCAGCCACCGGATTCGTGCATTATTTCCACAGATTGCAATTTTCACCTAAGTCTGAGGACTATATTCTCAACGTCTTGTAATCGACCTTCGATAAAATAACTGATTTGCCAAATGCAGAGATAAAACGATTGCGCGGTTGTCGGCACGTAACCTTGGTAAGATTGAAGTGTTGGCGAACAAACACCAAATCGTGATGGTCAGTCAAGATCCAACTTGACAACGATAAGAATTGATCCCTCTCCAACCCCGTAGAATACCCCATCTCAATAGAATGAGCGAATGTGTTGCTCCGTCGATATCGTTTAAATATTACAATATAACTCTACCAAAGAGCTATACAACTAATGGTTATATGCAATACACATTATGCACATGTCACCGCAACAAAAATCGCTAACAGTAAGGTAAGGGTATACGAATGTGCAATTTTTTATCAACACCTACAATTTACAAGTAGAGGAAGGGAATAGGTTGAGCAAATCTTGCTCAGAAGGGAGGAAATAGAAAATGTATTAAATATATGGTTGAGCTTCTTTGATTCATCCTCTTTATGACTTGCACTCTATCAAATCGCAAACTACCAATGAAGAAATACCCCGTCTATGTGATCGAAACAGAAACTACATCGCATTGAAAAGGAACAAGTGCAGTATAAAGCCGGACAATCTAGTATGAGATAAACAAAGTCGCTTACAGAGACGACGTGCGCTTAGTCTTGTAGTGATGTCATAATATTTTCTATTAGGTCTAGCTGTTGTTGGACTAGCTATTTGACCACCGAGAGCGAGATGACAAAAAAGTCTTTGTTTGACGCTGCTCCCTCCAGGCGATGTACATATGGCAGCAATTTGGGAAATGAGTAGTTATAGAATTGCCAAGCTAACCCCACCACTCGGCACTTCAGTAATTGATTACATCTGCCGGGCGTTTGTGTCAACGGTGTGAGAAGTCTAAATACCCAGGTCACGCATCACTATCCAACAATGGAATACTGGTACCATCACAATTTGGCGACAAAAAATGGTATGTATAGAGTGGAAAGTGGATTTGCTGAAGAAGTCGCGTATGCCTGTATATGCGTGTAGACATTGGGTGATTGTCAACGGATAGCTACGCATCATTGTGACTTGCTTGAACAGCTGGGCAAGTGATCTCGACCGGATTAGCCGCGAGGTCAGTCAAGCATTGCACGGACGTCTTTGAAGTAGTGGTGTCGTTTTGTGAACGTTTATTTTTGCCGACTTCCGCTTATCAATTTTCCCAATGACGGCATGTTTCCGTTAGTACTACAAAAATTAGCGCAAACACGGTTCATGCAACACTTCTATTGTCAAACGGTCAAGTTGTCTGACCGTGTATCACATTTCACGTTTTTTGCAAGCCAGCTATAATAGAGCCCGCCAGCAGTGAAGAATAGACTGGCATCGAGGGAGCATCAAGAGTGTAAATGTTTACATTACGATGTAATCTCTAGCCAATCGAATGATGATTGTGCTTTGGAGCGGTAGCATTACGTACAATGATCACCACTAAACTCTTACAGATATTAAAAGCACCAAGTCTTTAGTAGGTGCGTGAATGAATCATCTCTCTTTCCGATGATCAAATGAGGTCAAAGTTATTCAATGCCGTACAGCGGACATTCACAAATACTCTTTCCCTGATAGAATTTAGATGTGGTCTAGTTGTTGGTTTGTAGCTATTTAGCATCGAGCTCGTTGTTATCACGAATAGCGAAGTCGCTATACGCGCGTTGTGTTTGACAGAAAGGTAATTTGTCTGAAACGTTCTCAAGCAAATATGCAACAAAGATATTAATGCACGCAGGACTTTATGAAGCATTCTCATCGTAGAGAGGCTCCTTGTAGATTGATAGACAAGCCAATGATAAAATACAAGCGACGTGAACACATTGATCGATGGAATATCTGCATCTTGTTGGTGATCACTCTCGAGTACAAGCATACTTGCGCATTGAAACATGGTAACGGACTGATGATTTCCATGGAAAGCTAAGCAAAGGAAGGATGGCATGTGTGTACGACAAAGGTGTAGCAAATGAAGGGATCCCAAACTGCATCGGGAAGTTACACCAGAAATGATTTTGATTACATATCTGCAGCTATCTTTTCCTTATTCGCACGCTGCTGCATCACAACAGTCTTCTTCATCACGAGTTCATTGCCTCAATAACACGTTGACCGTGGGTGAACCCAGTACTTCGACTGAAGTCATGATGCAAATCACGCCAATGTAAGGAAATTCCTTACTCGGTACATTCATTCATGACCTGTCCACTCGACCCACGAACTTGATCTATGTGCATACACTAAGGGTGATATCTTGTTTATTTTCATCAATCACGCGCTCATCATCATCGTCTTCTAGATTGCCGGGAGTGGTGATCCTGAAGAATTTGTGTGTCACTTGCGCGATGTCGGACTGACCATTTCCGGCGTCAAAAAGCTCTTCCAGCACGCGGACTTGGGCTTCCTCCAAGGGGCAAAGATCGGTATCTTTGGTGCCAATAGCAGTGGCAAGTCGACGCTCTTGAAAATCATTGCCGGCATTCGGAACAATTTTTACGGCAATCGATGGCTGAAACCGGGTGAGAAACTGGGCTACTTGCCACAGGAACCACAGCTCGATGAGAGCAAAAAACGTGTACGGCAACATCATGGACGGCTTGAAAGAGAGTCAGGAGCTCTTGGCTGCCTCTAACGATGTGTCGATGGCCATGGGCGAGCCCGATGCCGATCTCGACGCGCTCTTAGCTCAACAAGCAACTCTCCAGGACAAGATTGAGCAACTGAATTGCTGGCATTTGAGTCATGAAGTCGAGAAGGCCATGGCAGCACTGAAAGTGCTACCACGAGATACGGACGTAGACGTGCTGTCAGGAGGCGAACGACGACGTGTGGCATTGTGTAGATTACTGCTTGAGAAACCAGACATGTTGCTACTGGACGAACCGACCAATCACTTGGATGCCGAGTCGGTTCATTGGTTGGAAGAGTTTCGCAAAAATATCGTGTCACCGTACTGTCGATCACGCACGATCGCTACTTTCTGGACAACGTCGCTGGCTGGTTCTTAGAACATGATCGAGGCGAGACGTACGAGTATGAAGGCAATTACACTACGTGGCTCACACAGCGTCGTAATCGCTTGAACATGCAGCGAAAGGGCGATGCTGTCCGTGCAAAACAAATTGCATCTGAAATTGCCTGGGTACAGGAGCACCAAGGAAGTAAGAAGGTCAACAAAGCGCGTGTGAAGAAACTACAAGACATGGAGTCCAGTGGCTTCCGAACGTCAGCACGAATCGACGAAGGACAGATCGTCGTGCCGTCGGGCTCGTGTCTGGGTAACAAGGTGATCAAGGTGAACAACTTGCATAAAACATTCAACGATGGCCGTGTGCTGTTTGATAAGCTCTCATTTGAGATTCCGCCTCATGCGATCGTCGGTATAGTTGGAGGAAACGGAATGTAGAAGTACACGCTGCTGAATGTGTTTGCGGGGATCGATGAGCCAGATGCGGATTGTAGCGGAGCTACACAGCTTCTTAAGTCGGGGGAAGACTTAACGCTCAATGAGCAACTTTAGTTTTACGAACCCGACTCAAAGAGTCAACAGCTCCGAGAGCTAAGGTTTGGTATAAAGAACCCGACTCAAAGAGTCAACAAGCTCAGAGAGCTTACGGTCCCTGTTCCAGGGGGACCAAACAACTTAAAGAATCGTACGCACTGAGTGCACGGGTAGTAGCTGCCTTAACAAGGCGTTGCTACTTCCTTAACGATCGCAAGACTCCTCAGAGAGGCACGTGTCTTTTGTTGATCATAATGGGAACTGAATTTTATTTCTTCTTTTAACCTAAAAGAACACCGTAGAATAAAGTATTAACCTACTCACTTATGACCTAGATAAACCTATTAAACGATCTCGTAATCAATGGTTGACAGACATCAGTCTTCAACAATTGATACTTGTGTTATAATATTACTTTAAAGGGGATCACATCCCTTGTGTGTACCACACCTATTGTCGACTACCAGTCGACGTGTAACCCCGTTACAACCTTCCCCACCAGACTGACGTTTCCACAAAACGTCAATCGAATTTTTTCCTCGAAGAGGACGGTTTGTGTCCGCTTCAACCTTACGGTTGGCAAAACACAAAACACTATGGCATCGCCACCCCATGAGTCCTCGACTCTCTCGTCTTACCTTAGCATCGATGTTGATGTGGATTATGGTAGCGATGACGATATCCATGGTGACGGGATGACAATGTCCGACGCACCAGTGCAAGATGCAGCGCCTCATATTGAACATAACGCATTTGCCAAGCGTGTCGAAGCCAACGCGCCATCGGCGCCGCATCAAACACTTCTTGTGGACGATGCCATCATCACTAATCCGCTCGACGAGCAACAAGAGCTGGCTATCCAACGAGAGGAGAGCGCTCAGCGCTGTATGCAGCTAGCTGCAACCCTTGAGAGTCGTAGTACTATCTTTTCACCCCAATCAATGTGGAAGAGCGTATACGCCAAATGACAGGCCGTTCTTTGGCAACGTGAGTCATCAATGCTGAGCCAACATCTTCTGATGAGGTGGCGATTCGACAGGCACTTTGCCAGAGGTACCTGCAACCTCACTTGACTACTCAAAGTCAATATAAGTTGCGACTTGACACGCAAGCACGGGGTGCACCGGTTCCACCGATGAGGGGTATACCCATCCTCTTATTCGCAGGCGAATCCCAGGATGAAGAATACAACGCGTTTGCTCGCTGGGTGCATCGGAAATGACACCTCAGCAGCTTGTTAGCTCTTAGAGCAAGTGCCGATGTGGCAGGTGTTCGTCCAGAACGAAAGCTTCGGTATGGTTATGCCAAGCTTAAGTTCAGAAGCCAGTTGCAAACTTGCACACGCTATGCTTCGTCTGTTCCGATTGATTTGGGTGTTGGTCAAGCGGTACCCAACTACCCACCTGCCTCCAGCACTATGGGTGAGAAGCGCTCTCGTTCGAGGGATGACCCCTGCCACGATGTTCAAAACCATCAACGGCGTATGGAAAATCCTACAAGGGTATCTCAAACTCTCACGAGTTCTCCGACTCCGGGTACCCTCGCCACTTCACCAGATACTGGTATTGACCCTGACGATGACTTCGTTTCAGGAGTCGCTACACATCAAACTGGCGGTGCCCTTGCTCATCGAGCAGCGTCGGAGGTGGTCGGTATACCGAAGGAAAATCATTTGAAGGTTCTTCTCGATCTGAGTGGTCTCCGTGAGACATTGGGTAAGATCCAGAGTCCGTTTGACGCGATGCGAGTCCGTAACCAGGCGTTGGAGTTGGACCAAGCCCGGATGGAGGCTCAGCTTGACCTCCTGATACGGATTCATCAACCGATGGGCAAGGCCAACCTACCAGGCGCAAGAGCCTCCAAGTTCACGTGGGATGGATCCCGATACGGCTTAAGCAAGCCAACGTAGAACACGGGGGGTGTGCGCCGTTTGCGCGGAAGGTTGAGCGTATACGCAAGTCCCTTCTTGGCGACGACCGTGAATGGTCCAATGAAGCGAGGATGCAACTTTGTCTTGAAGACAGCAGACACTACATTTGTAGGTAGGGTTTTAGCATTGAGTAGAACTTGGTCTCCGATCTCATAACGTTCAATACAATTTCTTCCTTTAGCATCATCTTGTTCGTTCTGCTTGTATTGGCTATCAGACAGTGCGTCACACACATGTCGTAAGACATTCAATCGCGTTGCGAGAAAATCGCTTACCTGTTTTTAAACAGTAGCAGGGCTGATATCAGCAAGCCGATCGGCCATCTCTTCCCCAACAAGCCCTAAACCACGAAGTGGAAGCGTTAAAGGAACACGAGGGTGTGTGAGACCATTCACATAAAACGGTGTGTAGCCGGTGGAGGCATGCACGGCTTTATTCAACGCAAACTCAACGACAGGGAGCATCGAACCCCAACTCTTAGGCATTTCAGCGCAAACACTGCGCAAGATGTCACCGATGATGCGATTCACTCGCTCGGTTTGACCATCAGTCTTCGGATGATCCGCTGTGGACATGTCCAACCTTGTGCCAAGCACCTGGAAGAAGGACTTCCAAACTTCTCAGTGAAGCGAGGATATCTATCTGGGACAATTGCCAACGGCAAACCGTGTTGTCAAAACACGCGGTCGATAAGCAGCGTATCTGTATCTTCACCATCAATGGTATCTGGCAACGGCGCGAAGTGAGCCATCTTGATCAAATGGTCAACAAAGACCACAATACCCGTATTTCCATACGAATCCTTCGTTAATCCAAGCAGGAAGACCATACTGATGAACTCCCAACACCCTTTGGGTATAGGCAAACTAGCCAGCGGCGCGCCCGTGTGAGATGAGGGTTTCACCCGTTGACACGTTTCACACGTACGCACATATGTTCTCATTCATTTCTACAGTTTGGGCCACCAATAACATTGGCGAACTGAGCCGTAGGTCTTCTCACGACCGAGATGACCACTCAACGCAGTATCATGTGCCTCATAGAGGATCCGATACCATGACTACTGATCATGAATGACAACGATGCGAGGGGTATCCTCCACATCTTTGCTATAGCACAACAGACCTTGATCGATTGAATATCGATGTAACCTCGCACGTAATCGTGGCGACAATTGTATTTCCGAGTCCTTAAACTCCTCGCTCCCTAGAGCACGTAGCAGAGCTACACAGTGTTCATCTTTGGCATATACCGTACGGATTAGGTCAGTGACCGACGACGGCAGAGTCGTAACATGAGCAAGCTCATAGTCAGGCCTGCGTGACAACGCATCAGCCAAAGCATTCTGCTTGACCGGCTTATACTTCACCTCGAAATTGTACTCGGTAAAGAAGGAAAGCCAGCGATCCATTCTCTGAGAGAGGTGAGGCGACTAGGTCGCAGTGCGTAGTAACGCATGATCTGTATAGATCAAAAACTGCTTGGATCCAAGAAGATAAGCTCTGAATTTGGCGAGAGCATACGTCATTGCAAGTATCTCTTTGTCATGAACAGGATATATTTTTTTGAAGTCTTCAGACGCCGGGACACAATTGCAATGACGCGTTCCCGTTCCTCGACATCGGTTTGCAACATACCTCTGCCTATGGCAAAGTCAGATGCGCCACAGACGACACTGAAAGATCTATCAGGATCAAGCAAATCCAAGATTGGCGCATGAAGGAGACTCTCCTTTACTGCTTGAAAAGCATCATGCTCGGTGCTAGTCCAGCACCATTACACATCCTTTATAAGGAGATTGGATAACGGCCGAGCCATATCTGCGTACTTCGCACTGTACTTGTGTAAGTAATTGGCAAGGCCAAACTACTTGTGTAAGTCCTTTGGAAGCGGCAAGTCAAAATGGCTTTTACCTTAGCGGGATCCGCTCTAATGCCTCGCTACCCAATAAAGCACCATACGAAGAAAATCGCTTCTGCAACGAAGATGCACTTAGACGCGTTGGTGTACAATTTATTCGTGCGCATGCACTCGAGCACCGCTCGTAAATGGTCAATGTGATTGTCCACATCTGACCGACCGTTCATAGCACGACTATGGACAAAGATGTCATCAAAGTACGTCTGTGCATATCCTCTGTGAGGTATAAACAATTTTGTCACAAGACGATTAAACGTAGCCGGGGAATTTGATAACCCTTGCGAAAAAAACAAGTCACTCCCAGAGCATACCGCTTGGAGTGCTGACCACTGTCAGCGGAATATCGCATTTTCGCATGAGAAGCTGGTAATAGCCATCGACTAGTTCAAGCGCACTGTACATTGTACATCCTACTATGCTGTTCTGAAGAACATCATTCCTCGTAAATTGGTGTCTGAGCCGGGATAGTGGCCGCATGAAGCTAAGTGTAAGCATGAACAATGCGCCACTTCCTATTGGGCTTTTTGACACAGAAGGTCGGTGTGGAATGTGAATATTTGCTCTCACGTACCATTCCTGCCGCGTGCTTTGCGCGAAAGAAGTCGTAAATGACGTCCTACTATTCCTTCGGTAAGGCCACTGCCGTGTTACGCAGTATTGAGTTCCAGGAACCAAGTCAATTTCATGACGTACACCTCTATCGGGAGGTAAGAAGGACGGTGGGTTGTGACACACCACGTCTTGAAACTCCTTTACCAAAGCATAGAACGGATCAAGAGTATTCTTAAGGATCGAAGATCCACTACGGGCATCCAGTGCCACCCTTGTGTCCTCAAGGATAGACTCGTCCAATAACGAGGATGAGTTTAGCTCAATATCCGGCCGAATGACCACTAACTCGGATAATTCTCCTGCCTGTAAGGCTTGGCTGACTTTGCCAGCAGACGTCTCGTCTATTTCAAAAAGAGTGTTCAAGGATGGAAGAGTCTCAAGACTAATGTTGCCATTAATCTGGCCAGTCAACCCATTGATAAGTTTATATAGTGTATTATTA